AATGTTCTGGACTCACCTAAAACAGCAACAGGCACACTGAAGTTATTAGAAGTTGCATTTTTCCCAGACTTAAATCACATTCTTCAACTTCTCTGCTCACCTGCAATTACCAGGTGTTAGTGTGAGCAAAGTATCAGTGCACTGCAAAGACTGGAGATCTATCTTCACATCACAATGAAGGAAGAAGGAATATATTAGTTTGGCTCTGATGCCTGTACTTTATGGAATAGATATTAACATTGACTGGACAGAGGATGAACTTGTGTGATGAAATCTCAAAAGAGTGTGACTAATCAACATACCTATAGATTAATATTCCTTGTAAAATTGTGATTATGAAATTAGATTACCATTTAACACATTTATCATAAGTTAATAAGCTTTCTTAAATAGTTGTGCTCCCTTTAACAGATAAGACTGGTGACAATTTGGTCACTGCAAATGATACAACTGTATATTTCTCCTTCGTAAGTGATAAATAAATCTAGTCAAAAACACCTTAGGTGTGATATAAAAGGTGCAGCCAAAAAAAAAATTGAGCATGTAACTTAAAGGAATGAAATCAAAATTGGCAGCCATACTGGTACCTACACTTATAGCATTGATAAGAATTTTACAGCAATTATTCTTTCATTAGTTAGCTAGGTTGCATATTTTATTTTACCCACCATGATGCCCCAAGTTGAACAAAAAATGCAGTCTGGCTTAATAAATGAATGTTTGCTGTAAAAGTCACATGCTCAATCTTTTTTTGGCCACACCTTTTTTTCATACCAAATGTGTTTTTGATTATATATCATGACTTTTTGTCAATACACACCAAAAAACCACAGCAAGTAAGAAAGTGACACTCAATAGTAACCTATACTATACAGAACAAATCAGATTCTTTAAAATATATGGTGGTAGTTTTTCCTCTCTAAAACAGTATTAATAACTTCTGTTATAGTAACACCATATCAAGCATCATTATTTACGCTAATTGCTTAAGCTAATGTCACGTGATGTTAAATGCTCTTTAATAAGGATACTTTCATAAAATTTAGCAAATTTGTGCTTAAAAGTTGACAATGAATGATAACAGTCTAACCGTATGATTCTTCTGAAAACTTGAGATAGGAACTGCTAATCTAATTTGCGTAGCCTAACCAATACTTAAGTATCTGCATGTGCTTTCTCTCTATAGTTTTGCTGCTCTAAATCAACCATCTTTAATCTGAATGACAAAAAAACTAAAAAAGGTCCACCTTTACTCTTAGGTCAAGGTGTAGTAAAAATTTCAGGCTGATTTTTTTCACGTGATTCTTTACATACGCATGTGCAAAGATTTTGGTCAAAAGTGAGTGTTTTTTATATTAAATTTGCATGTGTGGCTTTTATTTTGACCAAATTTGACACCTAATTGTAGGTTGTAATGGTCTATCAGTGTAACAATTTTCTATCAGATAGTTTCCATACTTTCAGTGCAAATAAAAAAAAAGAGAAAAAATATCAATTGTAATTGAAGATTTTATAATGTGTGTATTTCTTAATGGATACCTTTTGGTATAAAAAGTAATGGTCCAGTAGAGTACATCCCCTGAAAATATGTGATAGTTTGGATTACCATAGCCCGAGCTACAGAAAGTGGAAAATCGCTAAACTATCACTGCTGTTAACCCTATCGCTATGGGTCATGTCATATCATGTTTATTGACCCACATTCAAAATTTTACTAAACTACTGTTTTATGAATGTATGTCAATAAGTTTGGTATCAAATTGAATATTATAATTCAAATTTTAGTATGATCTATTAGTTAATTTCTTAATCTAAAAGTAAATATTAAAAAAAATCCTAAATATTGACTTTTGTTTGTTACGTGGTATGTTGAATGCAGCATTGGTTCAAATTAGATATTTGTGATGTCCAAATACAAAGTCCATTCTTACAAATTAGGCACACAAATTACTGATGTTAACAGCTAGAATGTCAAATAAGAACCTCCTATCTTTTCTATTTTCTGAGATATTATTATATTTAGTGAATCAACCAAGGTGGCCCCACTCACCTCTTCCATTTTTGAAAATACTTACGATACACCTACTTAGCTCTATGGCATGGGTATAACCAATCAAAAGCTTAGAATGTCCCCCACGTGGTTTTCTGAGCCCTTGCAAAGTATTCATGTAGGTATCCCTTTCTTTTCATGGCAGATTTCAAATGATAAGGTAAGTCTTTAGAGAGCTCAAAATTTCATATTTTTTTAGATCCAAATACAGCTTAGTTACTAAGCTTGATAAATTATAGTGGAATTCTATGGTATTGATGTATAAATTTATGATTTTT